AAGCTCCTCGCTTTGTTGTCCTCTAAACCCTCTGCAACGCCTCTGCAGTTTTCAGCCAGCTTAGTGAAAAGCAGAACTTCACCCTGTGTCATTAAAGAGCCCTGGCTCTTTATCCACAGATGAACTGTTTCAAGTTAGAAGATGCAGTGTTCCTTCGCTATCAACTCAGTTGTGGAAGCAAGATCTTCTCCTTGACCCTACATTAGTTAAGAGAAGAATAAAATCCAACCACTTTTATGTGGGAAATGGACAGCCCCTGAGGTGAACGTTAACATTTATTTCAGCAACATCTGCAGTATGATGTATAAAACCAGGGAGAAAGCTGATGAAATGCAAAATGTATTGAATTTCTAAAGGGGGGTGGGGAGTGCTTTATGGAGCAGAGTTGTAGTCTGCTCTGAAGTAACTTCTCTATGCATAAAGGGTTTCTTCAAAAGGTGTATTGACCAAATAACCCTGATCAGAGTGAGAAACAATGCACTCGCTACAAGCAATTTCTTATCTTGTGCCTAAACCAGCAGTAGGAGTAGGAGTTGGGGTGGGAATCAAAAGCATCTCAAAGTGCCTTGCCTTTGGGAAAGGGCTCACGTGTTTTTTCTCAGCTGGCATCTGAATGGTCACCAGATTAGAAGGAATCGTTAAGTCACAGTTATGTCTTCCCTGAAAGCAAGAAAGATAACAGTGCAGACCTTGGTGAGTTGGTTCTCAATAACAGCACGTCTTCAGGGTGTCCTTTTCAGCTGAGATCTCGGTCCTCCTTCCAAGAGCAAGGACAGAGTTGCACAAATTGCTAGGAATTATTTCTTTTCCTCCCACTTAAGAATAACTGTGATGCTCCAACATCCAGTTCATCACAGCACAAGGAAACATTGTAGGTAGCTGGACAATAAAAGACCTGGCAGATCATCCCCTGTATTCAAAATGCCACAGATAACAGCTCTTTGAATAGCACCACAACATTCAAACTACTCACTTGTAAAACATCCTCGTCTAAGTATTTTGTACATAGCTTTGTGGGAAGGGGAGAATTCAGGAGACCCTGCCCAGAGTTGCTCAGGAAAGAACTGAAGATCTAGCAAGTTCACAAGTGAGAATCCTCAGCTTTGCATCTGCATTGCCATGTATTAGTGTCTGCATTCCTTCATTTCAAGTGGAAAATATCAGGCTACAGTCCAACACCACCCCCCCCATCCCAAAGTGTCCCTGAAATCTGCTCTTCCATACACTGTCAGCCACAAGTCACAATTGTCACATCATGAAAGTTGTTATTCTGCTTTCCCTGTAACCATATAAATTCTGTTCCTATCGCAATTCACATCCCCACCTTTTATACAGCTGTAGGTGCTCAATATGGGCAAGAATTTGTCTGGGGCAGTGTTCCAGCAATTTACACCAGTGTCCTGCTAAGTCGTGAAGCCTTGGCTTATGCCAAGTATATCTATGCTTAAGAGAGCACAGCTACGTTTAGCAGACAGCTCAGGCCAGCACCAGAAAGTGTCAGCTGTCAACTAGGATTCCAACTACAGATTTATCCCAGATAGTGATACTATGATCCATGGTTTCAAGGAGCCTGGACTTTGTATCAGGTTTCCATTATGCAGCTACTAAACTAGGCTTGGTGGAAGTCTCGCAGAGAGGGCTGTCAGAGTTTTGTCAGCTCGGCTTTATTAGCACTTTTCCATGCTGGAGCATTCCTGGGTGTGGCTGATGCAATTTCCTGCCTTTTTCGTCCCATGGAGACAGCACTGAGTGTCCAAGCACAAGGAAATGGTTCCTGCTTCACTCCTGTGTGTGATGTTTTCCTGTAGGGGAGGTGAGGTGGCTGTGCCAAGTGTTGATTGGTGGGGTTTTGTTTGGAAGCTGCGGCTTTGATGCAAGGGCCCTCAGGTTTTGTGGGTGAGCAGAGACTTAAGGGATATGTCAGCCTGTTCCTGCACTGGAGGGTTCTTAACGTTTTAATTCCCTTCAGGCGATCACATAGATCTACATTATTTCTGTTCCCAATTTTAAAAAACAGTCACTTTTTGGGGGGATTAATACCTTCATTTCTATTAGATGCTTGAGTTTCAGGGTTCTGGAGGCACATACTTCAGCAGAAAACTTGTACTGGAATAAGTTTGCTGTACTCTGTGTTCTTATATCTAGCTCCTGTGTGCAGAGTGAATGAGATTACTGTTCCATTATTACAGAAAATCCTATGCATAGAGTAATGACTAAAGGTCTTGACTCTGTGATTCTTGCAGACTGTGTAAAAAGAAATTGGGCTCTATGAGAATAAATGAGATGATAGTGAAGGAGCAAACACTTTCCATCTGTAACTGCAAAGATGGGACTAGAAAAGTCTGTGAAAGCAAATTATAGGGACTTAACTTAGACGGATTTTGTTTGTTTCTTAAATCATGGAAGGTTCAGTTGTAGGTGGATTCATTTTGTTTTCCAAGAAAAATGGTATGGGGAATTATTGAACTACAATAGATGTTTTCCTGGGGAATTTCAGAACCCCATGAATGACAAAGCCCATCCTCAGGGAGTTTCCAGCCCGTCAGAACTAAGTAGGTTCCACAGAACTGGGGTACTTACCCACATGTTTGGGTGCTTTGTCAATCCAACCCTTTTTACAACATCTGTTAATGCCTCAGCCCATGTAGAATGCAATCAGTGTTGAGATCTTCCAAGCCAAATCAGGAACTAGGAAATGTTACAGTTGGGCAATGCTGATATCTTTTAGTTAACAGAGTAAGCAAAGGATGGAGAACAGTATGTTTATGTTTTTATGTCCCCAAGGTTTAGTTCTGGCTGCCTTCTGCTGTACAGCAAGCCCAAGGTTTGCTCCTGCTGAGCTGTCTGTAGGGTGTTTTGGCTGCAGCTCTTCTGTTGCCAACACTCACCCAGCCATACCTGGATCTCACACAGTCATAGCTGGTCAGGGAGTTGCCAGGGGAGCAAGAGACAGATTTGGTGATCATTTTCCATCCCTGTTCTGTTCCTTACGCTGGAAGAACAGAGAGGAAAAGGAACATCAGTCGAAGTGCTGGGTTACTCAGGGTAATTCAGCCTATTTTATTTCATGTAGACATTTGGAATAATGCACCTTTTCACTTCTCAGTTCATTTTCTCTGCCCATTTGTCACACGGCCAACACTAGGACAAAGCCACATGCCCTTTTGGTGCGCACAGAAGGCAGTCCGGGGCCTGGGAATGGCGCTGTCTACATCCACACTTCCAAACTGGGCCCTGGTCATCTGGCCTGTCTGCTAGTGTATGGTGCTCCATGGCCGTGGCCAAATAGCTGCAGAGTTCCCCCTTAGGAAGTGGGGGGACACTTCCTAAGACAGCAGTACAAACGGCCTGTCTTTTATTTCTTTTCCCCAGCAGGAACCCCTGCTTTTATTATTGTTATTACTTTATTACAGTTATTGTTCTCTGTCTGAATCTTGTCCACATGCCTAGATGTGGCCTGTCTGTGGAGGAAATAGATTTCAGTTATCATGCTGAAGAGCGCAGGAAATGCTTCCCATGGCCCCATGCCACACTGGTGTTCGCATTTCTTTTATTGCCTGAATTATGTAGGGCTTTGAGTTCCCCACCAAAATGGGGCTCCCATCACACAGGCACCTCCAGAGGGAAAACAGTCATTTCCCACTAAGGCCTGCAGTGCAGTTCCAGGAGACAGATAAGCAAGGGATACAGAAACAAAGGCAAAGCAAAGGGAAGTGACTCACCTGTGGACTATCAGCCTGGAATACAGACAGAATGGTCAGGAGGGGTCAGTGACACAGCCATGCTGTGACATAGCTCATCCCTTGTCACAGGATCTCAGACACACATGGACAAACAACCTTAATGCCCATAAGGCTTTAAGAGTGGAAGGGCCCTTGTCCTTTGGATATAAACACCCCTGCAAATTCAGACATCCTCGTACAGCACCCATATTTACTCACTGTAGCACAATGAGGGCTTAACTTGGGCTGTCATGGTTCCTATACTTCTGGTGCTCTGTACAGGAGTGACTTTATCCCTGGGACAGAGCAGTGCTTTCCCTCATGACTGTCAGCACCCACCATAAGCCACCCCTGCCCAAACGAAGGCTTGAGCCAAGAGAGACTTTATCTTGTGCACAAATCCAGAGTTGACATTTTTTCCAGCCCTGCTCAGGTCACACATTAAAAGCCTAGGAAGTGAGCACACATGAAATCACCCCTTCCGTACAAGCAGACAGATGGAGAGAAATTCCAGCCTGTTTCCAGTCTTTTGTCTTCAGGGCAGTTTTGGAATTTCCTTCAGGAAGTGAGGTTACGACCCAGAGCCTTCCTCGGTGAGCAGGCTCCTGTTTCCCACAGTAAACCTTGTGCAGCGATGACATACAGTACGAGAAGGTGAGGTTTATCTTCACACTCCAACTGCATCCTGTATGAGCTCCATGGAACTTAAAAGTAACACTGGGAGGGAATGGCCGCAGCAGAGGAAATGGAAGCCAAGCCTACGGAAGAAGTAATACAGCACCTATTCAACTACAGCTGCCATGGTCTTCACTGGTGCATCAAATGCAGCCACAGTAGTTACAGAGCTGAGGCCACCATTCTGCATTTCATAAACCTCCATGATGCTTGCAGTGAGTTAAGAATTAAACTGAGTAATTGCATTAGTGATATAAGTGAATTATTTCATTTATTCTACTCTAGACATTCAGGGTAAAATCGGCAGACATCTGGGTTGTCTTCTGTTTGTTCTTCATTATCCTTTGGAGAAGAATCGCTCCTGTAGAGGTTCTTTTAATGGCATTTAATCGATATAGCACATGCTGCTGAAAAATTACATTCAAGCATTCATTTTGCATTGTACATGATCCTGTACCTGGGCATCATGCATCTTACATCCCTGCAGATTAATTGCAGCATGTACCAAAATCCAGTTCTTTCACTGACTTCTGCTAACAAGAAACCCCGCCAGGCAAGAATGCCCCACAACAGCACGAAACTACCAGTAATCCAATACCAGAATCTTTACAAAAATCAGTTTATTAATGTTTAGAAGTCAATAAAGCTATGTGCAAATTGAACAATAAAAGTCAGAAACATTTTAAATACTATTTTTTTTTTAACCAGAAAAATAAAAACCCAACAGTTTAATTGCACTGGAAATTTTACTACAAAGGCAATACATTTTCTTTACAAAATACCACTTCTAGGAACTGCCAGTAACTGTAAATCAGTCGCTTGCTCTCAGCTATCCCAGACATATCACTTTTGTTATAGTAATACTCTAGGCACATGAAGACTCCTGAATCTTATTAACCTATTTACATTGTACACATTCAACCCCATTAGCACAGGTTAGAAAAACAGAAATAAAAAGGATGCTGTAAAACGTATACATTCAATTTAATGACAGGTACTTCTTCCATGAACTGACAAAATACACCTTTACTGAAATGATAAACATTAATTAAATGTGCCAAAATGTATTGCATTTTGTTATGGAAGTGCATTTATCTATAGTCATTTCACTTCAACTTTAATTTGTTCTTCTGAAAGCCAAGATACTCTTTCCAGATCTTTTCCTTTGGAAAGAATATGAACCTGACACTGAAACACCCCTTCAGCTTTTAACTCTTCTTTCTCAGGCAAAAATCCTGCTGTCGTCAATTGTATCTTCTACTATTAGATTCACTTTCAGCCATATTAAAGAGAAATGACCTTTAGTTCTACCTTGCATTTGTCAGGATAATGCAGTTTATTTAATGCTACAGAATAACAAGGCAGTCAACATACGGGGCCAAATGCTGCTCTGAGCTACTCCATAGAATCCGATGCAGTCAGTGGAATTGTACAGGTGAAAGTAACTGTTGGCTCCTGGTCTGCAAGTGTAATATGGGCTGACAGCAAAAATTCACAGCTATGATCTGGCTAAAAAAAACCTCAACAGCTTTGGACTCTGCAAATAACACCTTATGAACTAAAACCTCTGGAAAGTGATGCCAAATTACAGCTGTACACAGCCTAAGTTATATTTGTGTGCTCTTGTTTCTTGTTATGTGCTAATCAAACACTTTTGACCGACTATGCCAGAGCCACCACTAGATTCAGCACAGAAAGACCTTTGTGTCAGTGGTTTGCTGCAAGTAAAAGAGAAATAACTTCACATTCTTCTCACATGGGGGAAAAAAACCAAGAAAGATTCATTCTCCCTCCTCCCCCTCTCCTTTTCTCCCACACACACCAGGCATCATTTCACCAAGGCATCAGTCTTTCAGAGTTACTAAGGAGACTTCAGGCTACGAATGCGCCTGACAATCCTGAACTGCCTCAGTGCAAAGACAAAACATGCTCCAGGGAAAAGAGATTTTCAAGCCAGAACAGTCTGTCCCATTTCTTGACCTCCAGCCTTGCAAGTGCACCGTTTGCCTCGCTAGAACTAATGCTACTCGCTCACTTTGCCCAACGCTGCCGCCACGAGCAGGAGGCCTCTCAGCTCCCCCATCTCAGAGAACAGCTCTGAAATATACCCCCATAGTTACTCCTAAGAAGATGAGGTAACATTGCCTGAAGACATGATGGTTTCAGGATGGTCCCCTTCCTCCTTCTGCGGGTGGGAGGAGTTGTCAGACTTACTCCGACTGAACTCCATCCCTCCGATGATGGGTCTTTTGAATTTGGTCCCAGAATCTGCCGGGGGACATTTGCAGCAGCACAGAATCTTGATGAAAGCCCTCCGCATCTCTTTGTTTGTCAAGGTGTAGATGATAGGGTTTGTGGCTGAATTGAGCACAGCCAGTACTAAGAAATACTCTGCTTTGTAGAGGATCGGGCAGGACTTCACTTTACACCCCACATCCAGTAAAAGCAGGATGAACAAGGGAGCCCAGCAGACGATGAAGGCACTCAGGACTATGATCACTGTCTTGAGCAAGGCCAGTGACTTCTCTGAGCTCCTGGTAGCTTTGGTAATGTTTTTCCGAAACGTCAGCCTGCGGCTCCTAGTCCTCACCATGGAGTAGATCCTGCAATAGAGGACGACAATAGATAACAAAAGGCCGGTGAAAACAGTGGTGCAAAAGAGAATATAGTGCTTGTGGTAGAGGGGCAGCACAGTGGAGCAGTTGGACAGGAGGTTGATGCAGTTCCATCCCATGATCGGCAGTCCCCCAAGGATCACAGAGATAACCCAGCAAGCACTGATGAGCAAGAAGGAGCGGAAGCTGTTGCTGCCATTATGGAGTTTCATCTTCAGCATAGTGATGTATCTCTCAATGGCAATGGCCAACAAGCTGAACACAGAAGCTGACAAGGCAACAAACATGCTGCCTTCCCTTACAAACCACTGGGAGGGAGTGAGGCTATACGTTTTGTGTCCAGATAGCAGGAGGTTGGCAGTGTAGGCCACGCCAGCCAGCAAGTCTGAAAGAGCCAAATTCCCAATGAAATAGTACATGGGTCTGTGAAACTTCTTGGTTTTCCAGATGGTGAGCAAGACAAAAATGTTCTCCAAGATTATAAAGCAGCAAATGATGATAAAAACCACCGACGTCACTTTTATTCCACTGTCCACATTCTCATTTAGCTTTCCTGTGTAATTATAGTGCTCTTTGATGACATAGTTGACATCGGTGTTGGCGAGGTTGCTGACGACCTTCAGCGGCGCAGTGGTGCCAAAGCTCATGGTGATGCCAAGAGTGATACTGGCCCAGCAGCTGGCCCCGAACTGCTGCACAACCTCAGAACCAGCAGCCCTGGCAACAGGAGACAGACAGGTTAACAGGGGCAGGCAAACAAGGCAATAAATGATACAAGTTTATCACCTGCTTGCCCAGGTGTAGATCAGAGTAACAAATGTATTCACACAGGAACTGCTTTTGTTCGGCTGCTAAAAGAAATAGACTTAAAAGGTGATTTAGGACTACTGAATTGGTTAATGAAACAAAAAAAGTCCTGCCACGCAGAGCCAAGCAGGAAAATGCAGGGACTGTGTTACGGGACTCCTACCAACATGAAAGAGCTCAAAGCTCCCCAGCAAGAAGTTCGAGTGAAACTTTTTCTTCAGTAGGAAACACACCTTGTAACACGACAGCAGAGATTCAGAAAGGGAAACGTTTTGACCTGATTGAACTGCAAATGTGTGAAAGCCTGCTCAGGAATTACTTAACCTGTATTCCCTCCGTTAGTAAAGTCGGACTGCGCTGTGGAAGGGGCAATTCTGCCATTTACTGATGCCACCTCAAACAGTGGTGAATTCACTGATGTGTATATGTAAGCAAAAGATCATCTCAAAGCTGTAAAGGGGAAAGGAGTGTCTTTGCTAACTAAAAGAATATGCTTTACATGGAAAAAAAAATTTAGAAAAGTCAAGAAAAAAGATGTAAATAAGGCAGGTAGCAAGCCCTTTCTGTGGGTCTGGAACAAAGAACGGCAAAAGAAAGCACTTTGCAGTTGAATAATTAGCATTGCAAACTTCTGAAACGTGCACGATGAAGGAGTACAGCTACGGAGGAAACTCCCTTTACACATGAACACGTTCTAGTGGACATTTAAAGAGAACTAAAGATGTGAAATCTCGCAAGAACAGGCACAGTTGTTAAATCGCAGCCCAAGCGGGGTAAAGCAGGAGGTACAAGCCTGAACTCACACCGGTCCTGCACCGCTGCCTCACTGCTCCGCTCCCGATCTGCCGCCTGCACCGCTCCTGTCCCGCACCTCGCACAGCTCCCGGGCCCCAACCCGCACCACTCCTCGACTGCGCCTCGCACTGCTCCCGCTCCGCTCCCCGCCTGCTGCTCGCACCGCTCCCGTTTATAGCGCCCACGGGTCCCGCTCCGCCCGCCTGCGCGGGACGCGGCCGCAGGCCGGGCTCGGCAGGTACCGCGCAGCCCCCCCACCTCTTTTGCTCCGCGAGCGGCGGTGCGCGAACCCCGAGCCTCACCTCGCTCAAGCGCGGCGCGGAGCCCCCGCCGGCACTGCGCATCTTGCGCGTCCGCTGAGCAACTCCTGCAACTGGGCCGGGGGCTCGCTGGTTTTAGTGCTCGTGCGGCTGCCGCTCCCCACCCCGTTCCTTTCTAACTCCTCCCTGCGGGGCGGCTCGTCCGACGGCCCTTCGCTCCGGGACCCGCCCCGCGGCCGGGAGCAGGCGGGGAACGCGAGCTGGGGATGCCGCAGGGCATCGCCCCCAGCCCCGCTCGCACCGCTCCGAGCAGGAGCCACAGGGATAAGGCCAAAGCAAGGCTCCCCAGAGCCACCCCCGCCCTCGCTCCCGAGGGACGGCGTAAGTAGTGCTTAAGGAAATACCTGGAAGAGGCTCCTCCCCATCCGCACGGTTAGGCCGGGAAGAGAAGCGCGTTCGCCCACGGCTCCCCGGAGCCCGTAGGAGCCCCGGGGTACCGGGGGAAGGAGGGGGGTATAGGGCAGGGACTCGCCCCATGACACCGTCAAACATCACCACGGGTTGGTGTTTCCATGTGCAAACCGCATCTTCCACTGTTCCGAGCGTGCCGTAAGAAACCCACGTGTTTGAAAACACAAAGAAAAGTTTTAAAGTTGTTTGTCAAACCAAAGTTGGCAATGACAGCGACTTAGCACTGAGACTACAGACTAAGAAGTGATCTTAGGGTTTATAATTTCTTCTCTCTTCAAACTTTTGGAAGAACCCCCCACTCAGTGTACATGAAATGCTAACTCCAGTGGCAATCTGTTGTGTTTACTGCACAATTTCTCCTCTTCCTTCCTTGCTCTGTTCTCTTTAACTCCATTTCAAACTGCAACGCGAAAGAATGTCACAGTAGAGCAGAGCTCACTGTATTAGGTCTTTCAGTTCACGTCGCACCGCACCATAAGCAGTAGCAGTTGTTGGCTTTGACGGTGAGAGTAACTACTCTCAGGAAGGGTGTCCCTCTCTTTATTTATGCTAATAGTCACGCTTCAATTGCTCCACGCCTCTCCCGGAATGACTCAGATAAATGACACTGGCAAACAGACATTTACCCTGCCACCACAAAGCTAGAAACTTGAAAAGATGTTCAGCCTCCTGCAAGCCTGGGAGGAAAACACAGCCGTTAAATTACAACTGTCAGAACAGGCATGTCAGATAAATCATGCCTGAGGTTGACATATGCACCCCCTGCAACTGCCTGACATACCCTAGATAGTTCAAGCTTCCCCCCTTATTTAGCTAATTGATAGAAAATACTAACTAAAGGTGCATTCATTAGGTATTTTCCTCTAGGAAATAATTCTCACCATTTCAAGCAACAGGAACACATTAAAGGAACATGCTTTAATTAAAAAGGATAGAGTGACTCAGGGTTTCAGTAGTCAGATGTACAGGCTTTCATGTGTAGGTTATTGGTTAACCAACTGTGAGAGCTCCAACTCAGAGATGGGACATCTAAGTACTTATTTGTTAGAGGCTGTGCAAAATACCAGGGCAATTTCAGTTCCACTCCGAACACTTGGGTGTTTGTATCACAATAAGCATCATTAAAATTAGCTGACCATACGCATTTGTAGCCCTCTTGACATCTCAGCAGAGACAGAGCTGAAATGCAGCTTCATCCTTGTCAGGGAAATGAAGCCCCATCGACTGGATTTGCACTGAAGGCTCTCCAAAACCTCAGAGATGACAGGTTAGCACGTGGCTTGGCTGCGCAGGTTCCAGCCTGCTTACAATAGCTGAAATACAACCGAGGGAAATTCAGGTTGGTCCAGCCACCTCTACCAAAAGTATGCTGGGGAGCGTTTAGTGAGGTGCTTTACACCAGGGTTATACTCCATCCCCACCAACAGAACAGGAACTCTTTCTTCAGTACCTCCCCAGTGGCCACAGCTCGGGTTGAGGAAGCTCATCCTTCTGTGAAATACACCACAGAAATCCAATGTGTATACACGTCCTTTAAAAACTCAGCTCTGGAATTGCCTGTAGTAAGAATAAGGAGAAAGGACAATGTCATTTATGCGCTATTGCAAGAATAAGCCAAATGCAGGTCTGGGTGGAATGCGAGCAGGAGGGCTGAGCACTTCAGGGCACCAAAGCCATATTAACAGCCATTTGACCTGGGTAAACTGCTTAAAAGTGTTTCTGCAACGTGTCCACAAGCATAAAGAGGCAGACACTTTTGTTCACAGGCATCCTGAGTATGTATATGCCCTTATATACTTGAATTTTAGGAGGAGTAAAAACTCGTGATTTGGGGCATGGCAAAAAAACAAACAAAAATCATTTGTGACAACCAAAGTTCTTGTGGAATTTCCAGTAAGAACTTAGTGTGGTGTGGATTTCAGAAACCTGGTCAATTCCAGGGCAATTTCCTTGCCGGAAAATGCTTTGATCTTGTCAGAAATGAAGTTGCAAGCTGGGGTCCTCCCAAAGGCTGTGTGCTCTGACACTATCAGAAGAGCATCCTCTCTTAGTGCTAGCACTGCTGGCCAACTCACAGTTGCATCAGAGGAGTGTCTGAACATGATCCATCCCGAAAAGATACAGAAAATCCCCTCAAAACACATTATCAAAGGGCTCTTCTCCAACCTCTCACTCTTCTGCAAAAACATTTATGTAAGCAAAAAGTACTTTCACTCATTCTGAGGCAACTTAGGCCACAAACCAGAGCCATTATTCCCTGATGCGCTAGGTCAAGACAGGAGATCCTTGAAACAGTATTAACAGAATGGTTTTGCTCACCAAGAAACTGAAACAGGGGAGGTTTAGGTTAGATCTTAGGAAGTTCTTCCCTGTGAGGGTAGTGGGACACTGGCACAGCTTGCCCAGAGAAGCTGTGGCTGCCCCATCCCTGGCAGTGTTCAAGGCTGTATTGGACAGAGCCTTGGGTGACACAGTCTAGTGTGAGGTGTCCCTGCCCATGGCAGGGGGTTGGAACTGGACAATCTAAGGGTCCTTCCCTACCCAAACCACTCTGGGATTCCATGATTCTGTGAAAGTCCCAAGAGTGGCCTGCAGAATCCCCCAAAGTTCTCATGACTAGAAGAAAGGTATAAAACAGTGGAAAAAAGTCAGATTCTGATTTCTGCTGCAATCCCAGAACAAATATTCTGGGTTTTTGGTATTTCTGGTGATTTCCATGTCCTGCAGCATGCTCTTATATGTTCCTTTAAGTAACTAATACTCTTCAAAATTCATAAGAAAAGCAAAGAAAATTGTTCATATTGGTTCAAATGACACCTTAAATGAAGTACATGCAGCGAGTAAAGTCTAAAGGAAATTATTTTATTCATCTGTTAACGTAACAGTAAATACAAATCATTGATCCTGATTTTTGATCGATATTTATTAGGTATTCTCTGAGTACCCAGGAGAACAAATTAGATTTACTGCTCAGTTTAAAATGAATCAATGCTTCAGTTGCATCATTTCTGCAGTATAAGACCATCTGGGGTTAAATTATCCTTTCCACAGTGGACGGGTTGCAGGAATTGATTTTCTGTTGATATTCAGAGTGTTCAAAAATTCCAGATCCTCTCCCTTCAGATTAAAATACAAAACCTGGTTTGGAGGAAAAAAAGAAAAAGAAGAGATGAGAACATTGCAAAGACTAAAGCAGACATCTGTTTAGTATTATCATTTTATACTTTAGGTGGTCTGGATTTAAGTTCTTGATATTGATTAGTAAATGGTTTTTTTCTTTGTTTTAAAAGGCTATCGTAAAAAGTTTACTGGATTCATTTTTGTGGGAATTTGGACTTCCTTTTTAGATCACTAAACTGAGCATAACATTAGGAAAAGTTTAAGCCCAAGTGGAAAGCACTGAAGTAGTTGAGAAAGTGACATGCAATATGGGTATTATTGCACCCAAATCCATATCACGCGTTTATATATCTAATCATGAGAGATGTTTTCTTCATATGTATTAAAATACATACTTCTACACTAACAAAACTGTATAATGCAACATTAGAAAACTTTCTGGAGGTTAATTTTTTATTCCGGTGATATGAATCCATCAATTATAATCTTAATGCACATTTTCTGCTAAACTAAAGACATTAATGGACATGATAAGTGAATGCTGCTCTGAAGAAACACAAGTCTTAGATGGAAACTTTGCAATCATTTGGCAGATTACAGATCTTACTTATCTGCAATACTTGGGGGGGGGGGGGGGAGAAGCAGTGCACCATCTTGCTCCAACTCCCTGTCATTATATGCAGTTTATAAGGCATTAATGATAATCATGCAAAAAAGGTCACAAACGGTGTGATAGAAAATGGCTGGTTGCTGTTTCATTAATACAACAACTCCACAAAATACATATTTTTCAACATCAGGAAAGTGAATTTGTACCATAGGATATGTTTGACCTTGACACCAATGCTTCAGATTAATCTTCCTCCACCTTTACCCAAAGCAAGTGATTTACTATAAATTCATTTTGGCAACACTATACTTATGGATATTCAGTGGGATGAAACCAGGTCATGGACAACCATTAGGAAAGAATGAACTCACAGAAGAAAGAAACAAACCCGGGAAAATCCCTACCTAACAATTTCTGCTCCCCTTGTTACCAGGAAATTGTGAAAACAATTGTACACTTCTCTGCCTCCAAATTTCACAGCCAAGTTAGGAACCCAACACTAGTTCTATATCCTGGAATTTTGATGCCTCATCTAGAAAGTCCTGGAAATCTATTTTGCTGGAGGGAAAAAAAAAAAAAAAAAGCAACCATTAATAGGATGATAATGCTGTTAATGCACTCTTGATTTTCCTATGAGTAGTTCAGCTACAGAATGTTTCTCAAAGGGCACTGGCTAGCAAAGCCACTACTAATATCATAAATATTCATCTCTGGCACAGTGATTGAGATCTGGTGCGATGGATCTATGCAAAGTTGCTTACAGAAGCACATCCCATAATGTTGGCCATGCCTGCAATAGTTTACGGAGTGACGTGTGTCCTATCACTGGGAAGTAGCATCAGCATCATTGATTTAAATTCATTTCAGGGTTTGTGCTCTTCTTCTCCCCCAGTGGGTAGTGCCACAAATTGAGATAGTTCCCATGCTCTGGTCCCTTCAAAGTTATTACAATTTTATAATGCCCTGGCAGTTGCACTTAGTCCTGGGTGACGCTGCAAACACATGAAAGCAGCCATTCATACAGACAAATAGTAACGCTGCATCATTTAGATGAAAACTGGAAGATATGGATCCTCCACAGTTTCTTTCAAAAGAGCAGACATCTGAATGGAAGCTGCAAAAAGACGAAGTAAAGAAAAAGATGCAGCACAGCAACACAAAAAAATGGCCAGAAAGTTGGCTTCTCTGTTACTTCTACCCAAGGCACTCAAGGCAGAGATGAGCTTCAAAGCTTTGGAAGGGGTGTGGCAGTGTGGAAAGTGTGAACTGCTTGAACTCAGTGTCAGCAAGAGGTACTCCCCCTTATCCCCACCTTCAAAAACAGCTTTCCTGTCAAGACAGCAGACAGCACTGCTCTTTTGAAAAGAAAATCAGCTGGTGTTAACCACAGGGCAAGAAGAGGTGGTTTTCAGCAAATGGAACACGATGCAGTTTGCTCGGTTTGGTGGATTTGTACATTTATTGGTATTAGTTTCTTACCTATACACAGTGGGGAACAGCTGTAGTAAAGAGGCTTCTGCAGCCTGATTTAAGAAAAAGTGTCCTAAAGTATGCACTTTACAAAACCATTTTGATTCTTTTCCAATTAAATGTTCTTCGGTGCCTCCACCTCCAGTAATAGACAAAGAATCAGAAACAGGCAAGAAATAGGAGAGGGAGCCACTCCGAGTCAGACAGGAAGCTAGAGCTGCACAGAAAACAGCCTCACCCTTTCCACTGACTTTCAGTTTATTCTTTTCCTTTCCTTATTTGTTTCAAGAGTTCCCTTCCACTAAGAGCCACAGGGCTCCTGATTGCACTGAGGCGGGTAACACTGAGAAATTGTATCTTATTTTAACTAATGATTTATCACAACCAGAAAGGAGTGCCCCATCAGTCACTACCATCAGTGGCCTGCATCAGATGGAAGATAAATTGCTTCTATTTTCAGGTGTATTCCCTGTTCCTTTTGGCAAGATGATGGGTAAGGCTGATAAAACGATGCACTGCTGTATCTTAAAAATGGGCATTGAATAAAGGCGAAACAGCTTTCCCTCTACAGAAAGTTTATCTTACAGAAATTTGGAAAAGAGGAGGAATTTCAGCCCATACAATTCCAAGAACTCACTGGAAGGATGAATTCTGAGTTTAAAAGAAGAAATCTTTCAAAATGAGCACCTCCAGGCTAACTGACCACAGAACAAACAAAAATGGGGTTAAACTTCCTGATTTTGTAAGTTCAGTACATTCAAATCCTTTGGTCTTCCAAGTTCTGCTTCTCCTACAGAATATCACTCCTCACTGCTACCCCTAAATCTCACTGCTGTTCACTTTCCAATTTCTTACTAGCCATCATGTTTCCCTATACTATGAGCAAAGTTGTCTGTACTTCAGAAATGTTCATTTAGATGAGGTGATGTGGACTTGCTCTTCAGCATCTTTTGCTTAGAAGGAAAACCACCTATGACAACGCTGATGTCAATTTAGTTGTAGAGAGGAGCATAAAACACAAATCCACTGTGTCTTTGCCTCTGCAACCCAACCAAAAGAGGATTTGCTCAATGATTCTAAATTAACTAACATGGCCTAATACTTGTGAATGAGGTATTCAAAGGAAGAGGCTCCAGTGACATATCCCAAGCACACAGGAGATAACATGGTTCCAGTCTCTTTGGGCAGTTATAGCTTCTAGCAGAAAACAATGGCTACTAGTGATGGCACAATAAATGTGCATGTCACACCTGGGGGAAAGACAGCACGGGTCAGCTGAGTCCTGGCACTTCAAAAGCTTCTATTGCCTCAACCTACTCTTGACTGAGTACATAGTTAAAATTAAACTCTCCCATCGTTCTATAGCCACTACCTGGTAGCAAAGGAATTGCTAAGAAAGATCATACCCCCGCCCCCCAGAACCACCAACAAAAAACCCAACCAACCACAACCCAAACGCCCAAACCCCCCAAACCAACAATAAAAGAATCTTAACCAGAAAACTCCAACCCAAACAAACAATTCCCCCCCCCAAAAAAATGAAAAAAAGAAAATCAAAACCCAAAACAAAGACTTGAACCAACAAATAAGTCTGGGCATAGCTAGTAAGTATCAGATTAAAACTGTAACTTGCCACAACTGCTCCTTAAGAAGAATGCTTTTTTAGTAATCTTATTTCTATCTGATTATTCCTTTTATTGCTCCTTGTGCTGCTTAGATACCATGATACAGATCAAAGAACATGCTGGCTCTTCCTACCAAGAGCAGATGCAGGCACAAAACCCACTGTGAAATTCTTTGACACAGGCAACAATGAAAATCTATCAATAAATTAGGAAGCAATCCTCACTGTAGCCTTAAGTCATCTATATGGAGGATCAGCAAGAAAATCTGGTTTAATTCTGTTTAGCTCAGGTGATCAGTTAGAATTAAGTACAGAAAACCCAGAGCTGTTCTGACCAATATGGGACTTCTGGCCACGTAACTACTCCTAACTGGCATTGGTTTTGTAATACTGAAGCTAAAATTTGCTAACATGCATCAAGAACTGGTTCCTTTTGTATGCATCATTTGTGTTGGAAATAGTACACTGATGCGATGTCTGTCTCTTTAGAGAGAACCTGAGGTAGAACTCCAACTTCTACAAAAGTCTTCAATGCCAAAAAGCCATACTGAGGGAATACTTAGTATGTGATTTACTTCTAGCCCTCGTTTTATGGATTTGGCTACACTGTGAAGCAAGGAGTCCCTAAACAGCACAGTAACAAGTCGTCTTTTTCATCTTGCTGAGGTATTGCTCCATAAAGTGACTTTTCAAAAGGAGGATTAGCTGATGACCACTGGTGGAAAGCTTTATTTGTCAGGGACTGTAGCAATAGAACAAGGGGTAGGTAATGGACTTAAACTGAAACAGGGGAAGTTCAGGTTGGATCTAAGGCAGAAGCTCTTTCCAGTGAGGGTGCTGAGGCGCTGGCACAGGGCATCCAGAGAAGCTGTGGCTGCCCCATCCCTGGCAGTGCTCAAGGCCAGGCTGGACGGAACTTGGAGCAACCTGCTCTAGTATGTCTTAGACACCACAAGTGGCATTCTCAGTTGCCAAAGCACCTCAAGCTGCAAGTCACACTTCTATGAAATAAACTTACTGTGGAGATAGTGTCAGATACTAATGAGTGCAGCATTTCATACAGGATCTTGTGTTTCAAGTAAGTAATACATTAATGATTCCAGAGGCAGATCTAGACAAAACTTATTTACCAGGAAAAACTAGCCAACAATTCTGAGGAGCTATTATGAAAAAGGTAAGTTGGTATTTTACCTGATTTTATTTAGTTCCACTCTAAAGCCAAACAATGCAGGCTAGAATATATGACTGCTGTAAGTCACCTCTTGATAAAAAAAATTAGGAGCTTTGTTTCACGATATGACTAAAGCAGAACAGCAGTGGGAAAACTGCCTCAGGAAGTCCACACACAATATAAATCACAGTAAGATTTTCCATACCTTTCTAGACACAGGAACTCTTAAAATATCAAACCAATGCGACTAGAAGTTGAATACTCAGCTGATAAAACACTCTGCAGGCATATTTCTCAAACCAGATCTGTAAACTACATATATCTATCTCTCCTACATATTTTATAAGGAAATGCAAGGAAAGAGATTTCCTGGACAAACCCCAAATGAAAGCTAAACTAACTCTCACTAAAAGCTACACAAAACGCACCAGAATTGCCAGTAAGAGAAGAAGATCAATAATAACAAAGATGCCTTAGACCTTGCTGCTCAACTCTTAGCCATGCAGATAGCTTATTTGCACATGAACCTCTCTGGGACGATTTCTACTTTGTTGTACCTACAGTCTAGTAAATAATATGCATAGAACTCTCTGGGTCGAGGCCATACACAATAATATGCATAAAACCTTTTTGTTGATGCTCTCATACTGGTTATTACAATGAGATTCTATTTTTGAGAGAGATTTGCAGTACATTGTACAGTATAAATACTGTAATAAAAATTGTATGAACCATTTCACCCAGCTTTTTCTTCTTCGGACACTGTATTCCTCTAACAAGGTTCTTGGCAAATTATTTTGCACTTAACACCTGGCTGTACACTAGTAGGTAGCATTTTTTCTTATGCTTTTAAATAAGGGCTATCTACTCAAGCTCTTTGATTAAATGGCCTGATGCAGAGTCAATGGCATAAATCTGAGGCTTTGCATAGGCTCCAATAAGCTAGGGGTCGGGATTTGAGATGGACATGTAAGATCTCTGTACAAAACTGCTACACCCAAAAATACTTTTTGTCTGTTGTCAACGTTAAGGATTTCAAATTCAGTTATCATTAACAGCAGCTATTCATCTTACAATTATATAGTTATTGTACCCTTCCACGAATTAAGTGCTCTGACTCACTGATCACTGACAAAGGAAAAAGCTCCAACCTTCATTCACACAACAAGGCTTGGGTCCCAGGAAACATGTCTCCCATCATGCAGTCCATTGAGAACTTCAACATCATCTTCTGCTATTGTAAAATCAAACACCTGTGGGAGTGCATATACAGTTAACATGAATATAGAAAGAATTAGGAGTGCTCCTGTTATTTAAACTGATGAAGATTTATTTATTTCCTTCTGGAAGTTCTTGTATTTTGTCACAGACAAATATCCCATTAAGCTGATAGGCTCCATTAGGTTCTCTGCTTCTTTTGTGAGTCCATCCCTCGCAGTGTTCAAGGCCACCTTGGATTGAGTCTTGGGTGACGTGGTTTAGTGCAAGGTGTCCCTGCCCAGGGCAGGGGGTTGGAACTTGATGATCTTAAGGTCCCTTCCAACCCTATTCTATGATTCTATGATTTTTATTTGTAGACTCTGTGAAGATGGTTTTATAGTACTCTGGCCTCCGGCATGCGTCCAAGACAGTGGTAGTACCAAAGCATGCCATATGGTCGCTGCCAGAGGTATATAAATGCCCTGACTGCAATCCCTCTGGAAGCCTGAGCTCCGTATTTGACTTATATCCCAATGTTCAGTGTTACAGTGGTTTTCCTCAGAACTTGAGCTAAAGAGAATTACTAGAAGGTATCAGGACATTCACAAAGCTAGCAAAGCAAAGGCTGCATCTATCTTTTCTACGCGTACATAGACAAAACACTCATGGATCAGCTAATACAGAGGCAGATACAGTGCTATAGTATCTCAATACTAACTCAAACATGAAAGCAACCACCTCTCTTCATGCACAGGTTCTTACAGCCACTGACTTCTCCTGTCGTGACACCTGCAACATGAATGACGGTGTCAGTGTTTTCTCAGCAGGTGCCTTACTCGAACATTATCGCTACAGAGCTGAAGCTGCTTTAAGTTGGTCTGTTGCCTTTGTTAGAGTTCCTCCATACTCACTTAAAAGATCCTGTGGAGCCTGAACTGCTGCCAGATGAGCTCCTCCCATCCTGCATTATCCAGCAACCACAGGCTGCTGGAATGACGCTTCTAGAAAAACCTCAGTGCTCCAGCTTTTTAAACTCCAACCAGGGACCAGTCACAGAACCAGAAATACTACATACTATATTATGCGCTGGGGGCTTAGAGAGGTCCATGCTTTCACCAATGTGACTAGAGGTGGTAAGAGACTCAGGCCAACACACTGGCCTGGGGGAAAGAAAAAGCAAACAAAGGGAGATGTGCAGCATTTGATAACTCCCCCTTCCTCCTCTCCACCCGCAGTGTTTTAAATTCTGCTGCAGTGCATTCCCTCAGTTGTGTGAAATGAATTGGTGGGCCCATAGAATAAATGCTGTAAAACACAGAATTAATGTGGATTTAAAATATCACTGGGGAAAATAAAACAATGAAAGAAAAAAAATATATAAAATAACATAAAATAGCATAACATAAAATGGATATGGAAGGATTTTTCACCTAGTTTTGTTCTCTGCTCTGGTTCACAATACAGTACAACAAAGAGCTGTGCTTGTACCACAGAAGGCAGTGTGCATGTCAAGTTAAATAGGAGCTATATAAACAGCTCATTACATGTACGCTGATTTACACCTACACACACACACAGCGTGCTTTAACTAGCAGACAGAAGCTTCCTATCTTCTTGCAAAGTTTCTTCCTGATTTGCTGAACAGTTCATATCCCTGTGGTAATTTTGGAAGTAACAATAAGGTGGTTGTGGTTTCCCCTCCCCCAAAGAAAGCACACTTTCAACTTAGAGAATTGGAGAGAAAAAACAAGTGATGAATTACAAACATTCCTTCAAGTAGAGTAGGAGGAAGGGAGAGGAAGAGTCGGCTCTGGCAGGACTGCCATTTCCTTAGGAAGTCTCTCTTTCAGATGTCCCCAAGAGTTTTACAGCTTTCATAGCGTTATGCACAGCATACAGATTCCTTCCATTTGACGTACGTGCCTATCACAGAAAGGACCTAACCAGAATGAGATTAGGACGCTTTACAGTCAGCCAGGTAATAAGTAAGATAAATATTGACAATTAAAAAATCAACTGTGAAGAGGTCTTTCTGTGGATATCTCTTTTATACACAGTGATTAGCTCTCCAGTTAATTTCTGACATTCATGAATTACTGGTTTCTACTATACTGTAGTAATTTTATGGTACTACGAGTTGCCAATTTTAACTGAGTTGTCCCATTATAAAACCGGTTTAGGAAAAGGGGCAGGCAAACCTAAGTATTAAACGCAGTAACTGGGATGTTAGTCAGACTTGAACGCATAACCAAATCTCACCTTGCAGTTTTCCTCTATCCTTTCCGCTTTCGTGGATTTTGGAATAGTGACAATCCCATTCTGAAACACATCATGCTTCTCATCATAAAAATATACATACTTTCAAAGAAAATTATCTCTGTTCCAAACATTTCAAGACATTCCTCATGTCTTCTGAGGTTTCACTTTGATTTCTCAGAGGACACTAACATTTCTAGATGCCATTTTTAATTGCAGTTACATACAATGCATTCCGTTCCAACACAGATTACGTGGTTTATGTCAGTTTAATACGCTATTTCACTGCTTACTACTTCATGTTGAGCAATAGAAATGGAATGATGCCCCATACTGCTTGTAACATTTTAGTTTGAAACCACCTGTTTTGGTGGTGGTTCTTTTTATTCCCTACAATTATATTACTTGCATATTGAAAATCCACCATGCTTTCTGTGCTACACTCCACATTTCCCATCCAGCACAGTTAGTTCACGCCGTATCAGCAGACTGAAGGCAAAAAAGACTTTCTGTCTAAATCCTGGTTTTGAATCTCAAACTATTTGCATTTTCTTCCTGAGAGAGAGATACATTTTCATTACCACCCTCCCTTACCTGTATACTCCAGCGTATGCAAATCTGTGCTGGAGTTCTGCCATATTTCTTCGACAGCTGAATGATGCTAGGATGAGTAAGTGCTTCACCTTTGGCTAAAGGACAGTAGCCTTCAAAAACAATATCTCTTCTCCTACAATAATCGACCAGCTCTTGAGGCCTTTGGAAAGGGTGGTATTCAACCTTAGATAAATAGAAATAAATTTTTAGTAATAATCTTGAGAATACATTTAGTAGAAAACGTCATTGATAAGTGAAAAATCTTTTTTCTGTTGTTTTAAAAATACAACATGAGTGAAATCACTGCTTTTGAGAGATGTAAGTCACCACTTTTAGGAGAAACATGAAGGGTATTAGTCAATAAGCACTTTCCCATTAACTGGCACAATAGCTTACTAAGTGTTTTTATGTTTCCCCCAGATATAAGGTGCACAGAACAGCTGTCTGCCCTACCTGCAGTTGGTCTTGCACTCTAGTTCTGCTCTGTGTCTGAGAAATACATACAAATGCACAGTGGAATTCAACATTGGGCCATTTTTATTGGTGACTTTTAGACCACCGTCTTGTCCCCAGATTGACTTCCTTTCCTATTTCTTAACTAATGATCACTGAATTACACAGGCAAGGAGAGATCAACCAGAACCATTTGCTTGTCATAAGGGACTGACCTCAGGAGCAAAGCCTGTTGGCATGGATTGTACATGGAAAAATCTTGTATTCTGTGTGTGCTGTCACCAAGAGCTTATGCAGGGAAGCAGTCATGCTGCAGAGGAATAAAGTGTGAAGGAGACCTTTTGTAAGAAGGAAGATCATGAACTGCCAAGAACCACTTAAAAAGAGGAAAAGTAACAAGCTACAAAGACATAGTTGTTGGAAGCAAAAGAAAACAGAAGTTATTGGAAAAGATCTCAGAAGAGCCATGTATTCTGGCATGGAGCAAAAGCCAAAAAGAACCTCTGCAATATTCCTTAATGTGCTATTTAAATAAGTATTTCAGTTTATGTGTTGTAAGAAGCGCAGTTCCTCTGCATTCAGATGAAAACGTGTAGTGTTTTATCTTTTAAAACACATAAGCATGTGATACAGTTTTGTGAGTGTGTCACCACTGTCTCAGTGATCCAACTCTTGCACATTCTGAAGGAAAATCCTCTTCTGAAAAATTACCTCAGCATGTGGAATCTGGAAAATGCCTTGTGCCACAAAGAGGACAAATGAACATTTCCTGTTTCTCATCTTTAGGACATGTTGTCTTTTCAGACAACAATAGTCAGGAACAATAGGCTGGCAGTCATTCAACATGCGCTAAGAAAAAAACGTGCCCCTGGAAGGCTGGGCTGAGTCAGCCTAAAGCTGCTCTGATCTAAATTACTAGGTGGACTTGGGAACAAGGTTCAAGCAGCAGACATCCATGTCTTCACCCTTTGATGTTTCTTGACCTTTGAGTAGCCTTTGTATTTCATGTTGACATGTGTAAGGCCAGTGTTGAGATCATGCAGTTATTTGCACCTGAGCTGACTAGAAACTATTCTCATTGCATTTATGCAAGACTATGGAGGGGAGAAAAGAGCAAGCAGGGTGTATTACTCGATTATTACAACAGTAATCAACAATGTTAGTAGATGTTCTTTGCACTCGGTGCAACAAATAATAGCCTAGAAAATACTAAGTAAAGAACAATGAATTTAGGATCAAATGCTGAAAAATCTGCAGTACCCCTTATGGCATCAGGCAACTTATTCAGCACTTACTGTTTGTATGACTGCAAGCAGAATTTACCTGCTGGTCTAGTAAGATTCACAGGCAGCACAGTTCAAAGTTACACCTGAAGTATTTAAGGCAAGAACAGCATGCTGACATGTCACCTTCCTGCTTTCCAAGCAGAATCACATCACTTCATGCCTTTCACTAAACCAAGAGACTCCCAAAGTTTTTGGACTCATTTTTTGGTTGTGTGTTGGTAGCAGCCAGGATTTTTCTTCTTAACTGTATCGTTAAAATAATCAAATGCATTAAAAAAAAAAAAAAAAAAAGTACTTCTGGAATTATTTTTCTAGTGAAAACTGTCTGAAAGGTTCTAGCAGCGTCTGAATGCAGGGGACTAGTACCCTGGGCTAGAAGAGGCACAGACAGGGTCAGTGGCCAGCATGTGCTTCCCCTCAAAATAATAACTCCTGCTTCCTGGCTTGCCCCACCCTTGCTATTTTAGTCACCAAACTTTTCCCAGGCGAGGGCTGTATGTCATATGGATGGAGCAGCCTGAGGAGAAGGGCTTGCAGGTGCTGGGTGAGGAGAAGCTCCCCATGACCCAGCTTCAGTGAGTGCTTGAGCCCAGATACCCCCCCCCCCCCCCCCCGTGTGATGGGCTGCACCCCCAGAGAGTGAGCAGCAGCTCAGGGAGGGGATTCTGCCCCTCTGCTGTGCTCTGGGGAGAATCCCCCCCCCCCCCCTTCCCCCAAGCTCTGGGGCAGCAGCACAAGAGGGACATGGAGCTGTTGCAGTGAGTTCAGGGGAGGCCATGGAGATGCTGCGAGGGCTGGAGCAGCTCTGCTCTGGAGCCAGGCTGAGAGAGCTGGGCTGGTTCAGCCTGGAGAAGAGAAGGCTCCTTAAGGGGAGACCTCAGAGCAGCTCCAGTGCCTAAACGGGCTCCAAGAAACGTGGAGAGGGGCTTTGGACAAGGGCCTGTAGGGACAGGACAAGGGGAATGGCTTTAACCTGCCAGAACAGGGGAGACTGAGATGGGCTCTTACGCAGAAGCTCTTCCTGTGAGGGTGCTGAGGCACTGGCACAGGGTGCCCAGAGAAGCTGTGGCTGCCCCATCCCTGGCAGTGTTCAAGGCCAGGTTGGACACAGGGGCTTTGCGCAACCTGCTCTAGTGGAAGGTGTCCCTGCCTGTGGCAGGGGAGTGGAACTGGATGTGCTACAAGGTCCCTTCAACACAAACCAGTCTGGGATTCTATGATCCATACGGTAGTAGAGAAGATTTTGATCTTTCCTGGCACTCTACCCTGAGTGACCTGTGCATAAAAACTGGCATTTCCTTAATCAGTTTGCAATTCACATCACAGACCTCTTCATAGCTGCTACTTGGTCAGCCGGAGGAGAACTCCAAGCACTGTCTTTTATCACTGTCATGCACAATGGGGAAAAGCTGAGCCGAATAACAATCCAGACACATCGATCTAGAAAGTCATACCTTGCAAGGTGGTCTACCAAATCCTTACTCTTTCTGCCCTGCTGTGGGTTCTTTAAACCTGGTATAGTTTCCCTTCATCTGGACTTCAGTCAGTTTCTCAATGGGAATGCAGCCTTACAACGATTTCTCTTCATAAAACTAAAATATAAGCCTAGATGCACCAGAGAGGAACAGTTCAGGTGGGCTTATGTACAAAGGGGTTGTTTCCTAATGCCTCAAAATACTGAAATACATTTCTACCTTGTACAAAGTTACATAATAAAGCTCAATATTTACGGTAATATTATCAACATTACTAAATCTCCTAAAGGTCCTTAAACAGTAATGTGCATTTCTATAAAAGTAGAAATACATAGAATTCAGAGAAGAACAGTTTGGTTTCAGTGTGTCACTTTATTAAATGAAATATATATATTAACTAAATGCTTATATAATGTATTTTTTTCCTCTGTGAAACAGGCATAAGAGCCTTCAAAGAGACTTCAAAGCCTTCCTTAAGCATAAATCCAAACTTATTACTGCCAAGACAATGACAGATTCTGGAATACAAACCTCTAACTTCTATGGTGTCGGTTTCATTCTACATGATGCTAAAATATAATAGTTTTCATCATTTTTACACAGCATTTAGCAGTATTTTTAATAGTGGATTGTAATGTTAAAAGATGCTTACTTACTACTAAATACATTCACAATACTATATTCTTGAAAAGAAAGGTCTTTCCTACTGCTTTAAAATCCATGAGAATACTGAGTTTTTTTCCAGAGAAGGGAGGCAGCATATACAACTTGGTTTCTGAAACAGAAGCATTGCTCCCTACCTGGCTTGCAGAGACTCCTGAAGTCTAATAAAGATCCTCCTTTCTCCTGCCTGCCTGCTTCCTCCTCTTCACAGAAAATCCTCCCAATTTTAACATCATACGAACTGTTGGGATTGTAAGAACACCCTGAATTCCCTGAATATCCAACTTTAACACAGCTAAGAGAGAAGTGATTTTCGTCCACTTGTTCCTTAAATATTTAGACTTTGTATGCAATGATTATTTGCAAATGGTTTGTATTTAGAAATAAGTTCATTGAAACAGTATGCTGGTTCAGACATAAATACAGCAAAGATCTTTTGTATTATAAATTCCGGACAGTAAAATAAGGATTCAGTATAGCACTTTTATTCCCAATTTAAATTTAGGAATTTGTTAGTTATTTGCTAATCCGTAAGGAATCTCACCATCAGACTCAGCAACCTCCACACTAGGCAAGAAACACAATAAATACTCTTTTGAGGATAACCTGAATGATGGTTTATAAGATTCCTATAACTTGAAAATGTGTAAGCTAACGCTGTAACAAACCTGTTCATAGTACAGCACTTTGCATAGATACTTCATGGTTGTTGGCTTGGTTTGAATTTGGAACAGTGCTCTACATCACCTTAAAGAAACAACTCCCTGAATACAGCAGGAGCACCCTCCCAGGCCCCTGTATTGCTGTGGTTAGGAATTTTGGTTTCTTCTTTTTCAGCCACAGAAAAAGAGATGCTATGAAGCAGCTACAAGAAACAACTGCTCTCCCTGAACAGCACTGGCACAGTAAGACTGGTGACATTTTGACACTGTGGGCAAGAGGAAATTTCAAAACAAATCCAAGATTACATTTCTTTTAGTTGCAGTGATTTAATTGGACACCAAAAGGCTTTCTCATTCAATACACAGGAACAAGTTATGTCAGACTCTGTGAGGCTTTGAAGATGTCTATTTCTGAAAAGGAGATCCAACTGAATCTTGGCAAACTCACCAATTCTTAAAAAGTCACAGAAATCATGCAATCCCAGACTGGTTTGGATTGGAAAGGACCTTAAGATCATCCAGTTCCAACCCCCTGCCATGGGCAGGGACACCTCACACTAGAGCAGGTTGCTCCAAGCCCCTGTGTCCAACCTGGCTTTGAACACTGCCAGGGATGGGGCAGCCACAGCTTCTATGGGCACCTTGTGCCAGCACCTCAGCACCCTCGTAGGGAAGAGCTTCTGCCTTAGATCTAACCTGAACTTCCCCTGTCTCAGTGTGAACCCATCACCCCTTGTCCTATCGCTACGGTCCCTGATGGAGAGTCCCTCTCCAGCGTTCTTGTGGCCCCCTTCAGACACTGGAACCTCCTCTGAGGTCATCAACCTGCTCATTTCAATGGCTTCTTTTAAATAATTAACTATTTTATATGGGTTTACATTAATTTATCATTATTACTCATGATTGTCTTTTTGTAACCATTAGTGTAGTGGACAGCAAGCATCAGAGATATTAGGTTCCAAAAGTCTCTGAGCAAGTTTTTTGTTGCTGTTGATGACATTCCCAATAAATAGCTGCCAGAAATCCTCACCATGTGTACAAGGGGCAAAAGTATCCATTCCAGTTCCCAGCTCTCGGTTAGCATTAACCATGCTTTCACTGGCAGGAGGCGCTAGGAAAGGGAGCATGAACTTCCAGCACAGCTGTGGGCAGAAAACTGAAAGGAAGAGTTGGCAGTATTCTGGAAGTCTGTTGGTACGGAGGTGGCATTTTTTATCTGCCCAGGGCACCTAAAACATTTGCCAGGGCTCTTGCAGTACCTCAATGAGGAGTTCACTGAATTTAAAATCTTGACCTTGAAATATGAATATGAAATAAGAGGAAAGAAGGGGAAACAGCACCCTAGCATGACATGTAATCACCTGAGGCTTTCCCTGCTGTTTAGAGGAATTGTAGATAGTATTTGAACACAGGCTCTCCAAAACGTTGTTCACTTTGGAGATGCTAAGTGTCCAGTGTTCCTTTAATTGCATTTCTAAACTGTTTTATCATCAAAAACTGGCACACAGACCATTTGTTTGTGCCTTACAATGAACCACATCCAAGTAGCCTGGGAGAAACTGGGGAAAAGCAAGGAAGAAGGACTTCCCCCTCCTGCACCTCCTTCAGGTCATGTTCCTAAATGGTTTTCAATATGCATACAGAAAAGAGAAGAAATTGTATGACTAAGGCTAGTTTGGGTGTAGTCTTTCAGGCACAGGCATGGGGATGAGATTATTAACCAAAAAAGCCAAAACAAAACCCCAAACCCCAAATACTTGACGTATATTTAACCACTCACCTGATTAACATGTGGAGTAATCACACAGTCTTCCTTTAGTTGCTCAAGATGACTGATAAGAAAGTTGCTTACACCAACTGATCTACACAAACCTATTGAGAAACAGAACAAGAAAAAAGTTTTGGGACAATCCTAACTAGTTGGGAGCACGAGTTGAAAACATATCACTTTCAAGAGACAAAATGACTGTATACATCATGTCTGTATTGCAAAACACTGCAAAGAAATTCAGACTGCCATCACCAAAATGTAGTTTGACAGTGTTATCTGAAAGCATGGTTCCCTCACAGTCACACTAGGAAATTATTTTATAATCTAAACACATTGGGAACTCCCCAGTGTATAAAAACTCCAGGCTAAATTCTGGGAAAGGCTAGTGTAGTGTAAGCAGAGAACAATTGGACTCCACCAGAATGAAAAGAAGGAAATGGTGTTCTGAGCGACCTGCCAAAACTAAAGTGGAACATTTGCTGAAGACTAATAAGGTGTGAGCAATACAACCCAAGGACATGCAGCCCAAATAAACCAAGTAGCACTGCTTTTATTTCTATTAGATCATTGTGAGATGCCACATAAATCGAAGTTTTTATGCTGAATTTAAGTGAGAAGTATCAAACAAGATCAAAAAAAAAGCTTAAAAATGCAGCTAGATTCCTCAGCTCCTGTTGACATGCAAATAAAGTTGAAAAGCACATAGGTGATAGGAAGGTTATTTTTTTACCATAAGCCATAAGTGTGCATTCATGTGTATAAATCAAGTACTGACAGTCCTGAAATCGGATATCTCCCTTCAAACCTCAGATACAACAAAGCACAACCCCCAGTACTGGCCTGAAACCACACCTCAACCTTGACTTAGACTGGGGAGTTTGATCCTTCTTCTGTGCTAAACACACGAGTAGGGAAATCAACTGTGGTCAGGCTAGGGGGGGTCTTCTTAGGCTGTGGATGCTGTGGACAATGAATCAGACTCATTTCTTCAGTATATGAACTCTGTCTTGATTGATATGATCTGTATTTCAATGTGTAACTGCAAATGGAAAGTGTCTCACTGTTGTTAATCCAGTAGTTGTGCCAGCCAATTCAATATGATGTATACACATATGCTCATCTATATATATGCACACAAATATCTATAGCAAAAAAAGAAAGGAATTAAGCCAAAGGTTATAATGTTATTTTTTCAGAGAGAAAAAAAAAAAAGCCTCATTGGGCAATTTCAGCCATTTGATGTCAAAGGAATGATTTCTGGACTGAAATTGCCGTCATTCCACAGTTAGAATCACCACTTTCCTGAGGTCAGTTGGGAACTATGTGGAGCTGCCTTGCTTTGAGTCCAGAATACAGACACATAATAAAAAGGACTTACTAATGCAACTGAGACACATGAATACATTAAAGGGAAGAACCTCAACTGCAACGAAAGATAAAGAAAATGTTGGCGCAAAATGCACTAACCATGTACTCATTCCTAAAATACATATGGTTTAAGTATAAAAAAAATAACTCCCAAGCAGACTATAAATTTGCATATAAGGAACTGAGCTATAAGATTAGAAAGTATCTTGAATTTGCAGGTTAGACTTACCTGGACAAAACAAAGACATTAAATTTTTCTAGTCTTCCATGAAATTCTGGGAGGGAAGTTAGAGTTTATTGCTAAGTATTGACAGGAGGCTGAGAACATTGGGGCTGTTCAGCCTAGAGAAGAGAAGCTGCGTGGAGATCTCAGAGCAGCTTCTGGTGTCTGAAGGGGGCTACAAGGATGCTGGAGAGGGACTCTTCATCAGGGACTGCAGTGATAGGACAAGGGGTGATGGGTTCACACTTGAAACAGGGGAAGTTCAGGTTAGGTCTAAGGCAGAAGCTCTTCCCTATGAGGGTGCTGAGGCGCTGGCACAGGGTGCCCAGAGAAGCTGTGGCTGCCCCATCCCTGGCAGTGTTCAAGGCCAGGTTGGACACAGGGGCTTGGAGCAACCTCCTCTAGTGGAAGGTGTCCCTGCCCGTGGCAGGGGGCTAGAACTAGATGATCTTAAGGTCCTTTCCAACCCAAACCAGTCTAGGTTTCTATTAAAAAATAAATAAATCAAGTTTTGCACCAGAAAAGGCACTAACCACAGAAATTCTGGCAATGTGTCTGCGAGGTTGCTTTCACATATTTTAGAAACGCAAGCAGATAAGATGCACAGCAGCAAAATCTGCACATATACTATCACTTTCAACATGGTTTCTTTGGTAGAATACAAAAGGATTAAAAAAAAAAAACATTAGCAACTCAAATGCTAGGCAGCTTTCCCTTACAGAAACGATCATTGTTCAAGATGTAGAACATAATTAGGTTATAACCTGCACTATGGTGATTTGCATAATTTGCGTGTAATCTGCCAGAAGGAGCAAAACCTCAGCTTTTGCCTTCTACTTACAAACAACCCCAGAGTGTCAACACTAATAAATCATTTATGCCAAAGAAGTCAGAAAAACACTTGCAGTTTTAATGGTGAACCAAAATATTGTACTCCATTGTTGAAAGCTAAGCACTTACAAACCCCATGCTGTTACTGCCCTGGAAGAATAAAGCTTTTATTTCCGGCTGAAATAAAACAAAACTCAAATCACAGGCATGAAATATAAAAGGGCTTATGAAACTTGTCCATTTTCACAGAAAGTTTCCTGTTTTTTTTCCCTTACAGTACACTCTAAGTTGCTTTGCTTCTAGCATACTTCTCACAGGAGATTTGAAAGTCTCTTCCACAGTCACACTGCATTCACACTGATAAGAAGTTTTTCATTCGATTTCCCAACAAGAAATTTCAGGTCAGTTATGTTTTGTATTAAAAGTCATACAAGAGGCTCCTACTAAAATCAGTACTCTGGGCATTCCTTTGTTTAGAGTGATGTCACACAAAGAAAGCTGAGGGAATACAATTAAAACATTCAATTTTCATTAAATCCACATATTTCATTTTGTTCAAGTTAGAACTCTTCACTTTAACTCCACTGCTTTCTTTTTTAGTTATAGTATAACAGATGAAAGTTAGTGTTTTGACTTTGGTATTCAATTACAATATAAAATACAATAAATATGAAAACAATTGCACAGCCTGACTGTATTTAAAAAAAATTATTTCAATGCATTCAATTCATGAATTCAAAACACTGGAAATTCCTGAAAAATAGAGCTGAAATCGGAATGAACAATCAATGGATGCTACTTGAGAGAACGGCTTTCATTTGCTGGATGCTCTGCATGACTAAATCTGGGAAGTCTACCTTAAAGCAAGAGATTTTAGAGATTTATTCCCACATTTATGTCTGATAGATTAATTCCTAAAAGTGAAGAATTAGAAAATGATGGATAAGAAAATGAAGGTCTAGGTAGCTTCTGGTCTGACAGACCAACCCTTGTAACTACGGAGGTCAAGCAAGATCCACAAAAGGATCACATCAGCAGTAGAAATAAAATTGCATACGGAGAGGTCTGTGTAAAATGGTCCTGACTCACCGCCTTGAAACCTCTCAGGGGAGAGGGGAGATGCACATTGCCTTACATTGTCTCTCTTGTGGAGCTCTGACAGAAGCAGGGTCCTCAGAGTTTGTACAACACATCTCAAAACCACCAGAATGCTCTTGAAAAGGAGGGAAGAACACCCCCACTTCCAATTTAATACCTGTTCAGTGTGCTTAAAAGCCCCATTTCACACAATTCAGGCACAAGCCATGCTGTGCTAGCAGGTGGTTTAAGTCTACAATTCTTTTTAACTTAACCAGTTTAGCTAGTCCCGAAGTTCACGTTTTCTGAGATAAGTTTGCAATGTGCTAGCTGCAAGCCTGGAGAAAGTACACTTAAAATATACATTTGTACTGTTTCATCTGAAACGTCACAGAGCTTCAACCCAAGGAGAGAAAGCATCCTCCTTATCTGCTGGAGGAAATGAGTGGTTTGGCCCCTGTGAAGCAGATTTTGAGACAAAGATGTTGCAGTTCCCCAGCAGCTCCCAAAGCTTACTGAGGCTTTGTCTTCCTCCTTGCAACTCTGCCTTTGCATGCTTGGAGCAAAAGCTGGCAACGATGCTTATGTTATGCATGCTAAAAACTGACTGACCACAATGGTGGAATGGAAATTTTCATCCAGCTTTGACAGACTATCATGAAGCTCTGCAAGACACATCTGAAAACATGTTGGCAAAAGAATGGTTGATTATAGTGGGGGGAAAAATAGCATCTTTTCTATTCTACACATAAAAATCTTGGCCTCCGCCACGATGGTAATTTCACCACACTGTATTATTCCCAGCTGCTGTGAAGCAACACATCATGCTAAGGGACTGGTTTGTAATACAGCTGTGTACTCAGCTTAAAGCATTTTTATGGCAAGCTAGAGAATGATTGGGTATTTTTTCCTTTACTTAGAATAATATCAAATTATGCAAGTTTGATGGGCACTGGCTGGTCTTGCAGAAACAAAAAAGCATAAATATACTGTCTTGGCACCACAACATTGTTTTAGTACAATAGCGAGCCTTATCTTTCTCTAGCACTACTGTGGACTTTTATCAAACTTCTAAATACCCTCTGGAATATTAAATGGACAAAGTTCAGATCCAAAAGGGGTTCTTTTACAATGACAAAACTGGATACTGGGTTTGTGGAGCCCATTTTCCTCCCCCTCCCCGCTGCTCTACATGAGTCAGAGCAAGGGAGAATTCCCACGTCCAGCGAACAGTGCCTATTCTGTGAGATCTTCTATTCAGGCCACAGAATAAAAACACAAATGGATCCACTTCTCACAAGAGGTCAACTGCAGTAACTGTGTCATTATTCAAGGAGGTTACACAGGTTGGTAAGGTCCATATTCTCTCTGATACACTAAAATTGTCTCCATGGGTAAGCAGTATTACTCAGGGAAACTATACAAGATTTGATTTCATCACAGCTTGCTAAATCAAAGCTGTAGGCTAAGTGCGTCCCACATGCAGACTGCAAGCCAAAGCCTTGATAAAATAAAGCAACTGACTCTTAGACAGAACCAGGAAGGAATTAAGTTTTAAGTCTATGAAATAACACTTGCTGCCTTGTCACAGACTGAAAAACA